CCGCAGAGATGTCACGTGCCCTTGCATCTCTTGTTTTTTGCAACGTTGCACGCACGTCATTCTTGCAGATTTCCTTGCTTGTCCACGCAGAAGGTTCCATTGCTCTAGAGACAGCGGTTTGGCTCAGCAGCAGACTGCACTTGCATTGAAGCCGGTGTTCATGGCAGAGACTTCGTCGAAGGGTGGCAAATACCTGAGCTACCGTGGTTCAAAAGAAAGATGCAAACGGGTCATGGTTTCCCTGGCTTGTTTCGTTTGAGAGGTTCACCTTTGATCATGGTCACCCTGGCCAGGAGTGGATTTCGCAGATCACTGATGAGGAGGCCTTGCGCAGGCATGAGAAGAACAAGAAGGTCTACGCTAAGGTCAAGGTTTCGAAAGACAAGGAGACATTATTACAATATATATATAGGTTGGTGGTTTATTTTTTGCATGATGCAGGATGCATGCACGAGGAAGGGATCCTTCTCACTACGGCTCGACGATTTCGACAGTGAAGAGCCTTTGGAGGACCAGGCAGTTACTAATTTGCGCACGTTGGTCATTTTGACATTGAACTTGTTCAGATCATGGTGAACTTCGAGCTCCTCAAGCAGTGGTTCGAGTTGATGGGGCGAGAAACCCCCATGGGACATGAGATCCAGGCCAGTGCATGAGGCTTTTGCATCGTGCACCATTATCTTTTTTGCATCAGGCAGCGATCTTAGAAAAGAATGAGGTCTTTCGGTTTCTGTACACGACCAAGCCGAAGTATCAAAAGGCCGTGATTTTGAATGGATGCTCAATTCTTTTTCCAAGGACTGTTCAATTCATTCATCCTGCTTTTCTTTTCTCAGACTGATCCATCAGGTGGAGGCCTATGAGGCTGCCCTAGACTGGAGGGGGTTAGTGGCAGACTTTTTAGTGACTGAAAGACGGTCAGGTGGCAGGGTCCGGACTTTTTCAACTTGCAGGTCATGCCGCGGATCGTGCGCCATACGGAGCTGCTGGACCATGTGGGGAAGAGCAGCTGGTTAGATCAGCAAATGATCTATGCCCACCTGGAGAATTGGGATTCGATGATGAGGTTGCGTGCGCTGCTTGTTGACCGATACAGGCAAAAGAAAGCTCTAAGGGACTGGTGCCAACAATAGCTGCTTTTGGGAATGGCCATAGCCGCCACATGATGGAATGGCCGGGCTGAAAGTTTGAGCGAATGGTGCCAGCAATATAGATGCTTTTGGGAACATGGCCATAGCCATGATGGAATGAAAGCTTTGTCGAATGGTGCCAGCAAGATGCTTTTGGGATCTGGCCATAGCCGCCGCATGATGGAATGGCTGGGCTGAAATCTTATAAGCTTCGAATGATGCCAGCGATAGATGCTTTGGTTGGGAATTCTGGCCATACCGCCACATGATGGAATGGCTGGGCTGAAAGCTTTGAGGGTCGAATGGTGCCAGCATGAGATGCTTTTGGGAATATGGCCATAGCCGCCACGTGATGGAATGGCCGGCCGGATAGCCCGGCCGGCTTTAAAGCTTTTGCACCTTGCGAATGTAAGGCTGCCGCTGAAAACTCGTGTTGCTTTTGGTCGACCGTTTCCGTTGACTTCGAATTCGTTCTCGTCGACCCGCCACTCACCGGCCTGATTTGCCACGGATCGGGATTCACATGCCATTGCACCCCTCGATGCGTTTAAATTTGAAGGCACCTCGTGATCATGATGATCACCCAGCTGGTGTTCAGCCTCGCGAGGATGCAGTGACACTTGACAGGTGAGCCGTTGAGACTTTTCAGCTTGGGCGTTATTTCTTGGGCGTCATTGCTCATCAGGTACAAAATTGATGAGGTGATTGATACTACGGTGGTCAAGGAGCACCCTGATATGCCAGGAGAGAAGGCCTGTGGAATGCGATTGAACAAATACCTAAGATTGTATACATGCGTGAAAAGTGATGTGTGATTTGTGCAGTTGTACTATGTGGACCCTGCCCCTGCTGCTGCATCCACATCTTCTGATTCCAGCTCATATTCGGATTCGGGCTCGGAAGATGAGGCATCTCCAAAGGTGAGCCATGAATCATGAGTGTTTTTTGGAAAGTTGTGTCAACAAACTTTGCAAATTTGAACTGCTCAGGTACTGATAGGAAGCAAAGCTGCCAAGCAAGTTCCACCACCCACACCAGTCAGCCGTCCCATTTGTTTGTGGTTCTGACGTTGTGTGTATGTGTTGGCTCAACCGCTACTGCCCAGGTGGATTCGGAGACTGGAGGCAAAGCTGCAAAGCAGGTTCCACCACCCACAATGGTCAGCTGTCCCAGCAGTTTGTCTGTGTGGTTCTGAGAAGGTTTAGTTTTGTCATTGTGTGTATGTGTTGGCTCAACCGCTACTGCCCAGGTGGATTCGGAGACCGGAGGCAAAGCTGCAGAGCAGGTTCCACCGCCCACAGCGGTCAGCTGTCCCAGCAGTTTGTCTGTGTGGTTCTGAGAAGGTTTTGTCATTATTGTGTGTATGTGTTGGCTCAACCGCTACTGCGCTGCAGGTGGGTTCGGAGACAGAAGGCAAAGCTGCAGAGCAAGTTCCACCACCCACACCAGTCAGCCGTCCCAGCAATTTGTTTGTGGTTCTGAGAAGGTTTTGTCATTGTGTGTATGTGTTGGACCAACTGCTACTGCCCAGGTGGATCCGGAGATGGGAGGCAAAGCTGCCAAGCAAGTTCCACCACGCCCAGTGGTGAGCTGTCCCAGCAGTTGTTCTTTCTGTTTCCGATCAGTAGGTTTTTCTTTAATGAACTTCATTCTCAACCTCGACCGCCCAGGTAGAGGTGGCAGGCAAAGCAGTTGGAGAGCAAGTTCCACCACCCACAGCAGTGCGCTGTCCCACTGTTTTTTTTGTGTTTCCGATCAGTAGGTTTTCCTTCAATGAATTTTATTCTCAACCTCTACCGCCCAGGTAGAGATGGGAGGCAAAGCAGTTGGAGAGCAAGTTCCACCACCCACAGCAGTGCGCTGTCCCAGTGGTAGTTGAGCAGTTTCTGTCATCTTTTTGTTTGCTGGCTTTATTGGTTTCGTTCTCAACCTCTAACACAAATCAGGGTCAATCAAAAACATTTCACGGTCAATCAACAACATTTCACGGACAATGGGCAACATTTCACGGACAATCAGCCACATTTCACGGACAATGGGCCACATTTCACGGACAATGGGCAACATTTCACGGTCAATCAGCCACATTTCACGGACATTCGCCCACAAGTCATGGTCATTTCATGGGCCACAATTCATGGACGACCAGAGGATTTGATGGACGCCAGAATCAATCAAATGCAATCATTCTTCAAACAAATCACCCAGCAGTTTTTCTGGAAGTTGGTTTCGCTGATCTGTTTCGATTCCAGTGGGGTGCCATGAGGTGGCGACAGAAGCTAGAGTTGGTGACCCCATGCTGGTGGATCAAGTCCAGGCCCATAACTGTCATCATTGTTTTTGCGCAATTGAGCTTCTTGGGGCCAGGATCCCAGTAAAGGCAATTCTGCGAGCAAGGATCCAGCTGAGGCTCTGATATGAAATCATGGTTCTAATCACTGTCCACCGTTTCTCCAGGTTGAAGCGATTTCTTCAGAGGAGGAGGGGGCGAATCTGAAAGGAGCGTTCAAGGATCGGAAACCGTTGGAGAGCGACCCGGCCAAGCTGTCGGAAGAATTGGTCAAGGCTACTTTAGCCACTTTAACCTTGATGGGGAAGGATGCTTCGGTGGATATCTTGCAGGCAATCTGGTTTGAGTGTTTTCCCATTGGAATCTTCTTCACGAGGGCTGTTTTCCTGATTTAGATTCGCAGGCGCAAAGGAAGGTCAGAGATGCTTTGAAGAACCTGCAGGAACAGCCATCTGACCCTGCCAGAGAGGAAACTGTGGCTCCGCCTGCGACAAAGAAACGAAAAAAGGAATCGGAGAAGCCTACTTCGGACCAGGTGAAGCTCCCTGTGGAAGAGGAACAACTCTTTGTCCCAGGGGCTGATGAGAAGGGGGCACCAGTCTTAGCTAGTGTTCTTAGCCATATGAACCACATTGATGTTTTCGGCGTGTTGATGCTTCTGTTGAATTAGGTCTTGCAATACCTCACGAAGAGTTCACTGCTCCCTGTGCCTGAAGGGGCGCCGTTGAAGAAAAGCTTTTGTGTATCACCACCCCAGAACTCATCGGCTGCCATCAAGTCGATCGAAGTGAAGTTCTTGGGGTCTGAATCTCAGCCTGGGATGCATTGCAATCATTTTCTGGTCATGTTCTGTGGTGTTCAAAGCCCAGCAGGAGTACTGCCAGTTTCTACCCCAAGAAGTGTGCTGAGCACATGGTGCCCAAGCTTCAGTCCCTGAGCCTCTGTGCGGATAAGAAGGGCGGCGTTCACATTGCCATGAGAAAGCATGGGGTGGCGAACGGGTCAGAAGCCTAGTGTATCCAACGGCTGGCCTCTCAAATTCACTCACCTGGTCATGGACGGGTGATATGAGGTGGCAACTTGCGCAAAGAGTTGCTGGCTGGACAGTGGAAGAGACGCGTGAAGGTCTTTCTCCATAGGCCTCTCCGTTCATGTTTTCGCGGCCAGCCAAAAATTTGGCTTTTGTGGCCTTTTGGGAAATCGTGCATCCAGTGGCATTTAAGTAGAGCTCGGATGTGGTTCAAGACTTGTGCGGGGTTAAAACACAAGCCACGACTTGCTTTGATACTTTCCCACATGTTTCTGAGGCCTGGGAACTTTTTCGCATGGACCCAGTTTGAAGTTCAATGCCATTTCATGTCTTGAGTTTCAAGCTCGAGCTTTCTGCCTCCTAATCCAACCAGCCCAAATGTCTCGAGCTGTGGAGTGTGACCAGTGCCCTTTGCGCCTTAGCCGGCGAGCGGCACTGACCTTGCACAAGCTTGCAGTGCCGTTGGTAGTGTTGGAGCCCCAAAAAGAGTGTGAAGTGCATGACCACTGTCAGGAGGTTTCATTCCCATCACATGAGGCTTCACTTGGTGGATTTCATTTGCCAAACATCGAACCCTGCCCAGAACCAGCGTGTGTCCATCTCAGTCTCAGCTTTCCTATATTTGTGAATAGCCTTCTTGGTTGAATCATTAAGGACCTCATGGTCTTTGAAGTGTTTTCCGGTGTGAGTCGAATCTATTCAACTGCCCGGGAAGAGCGTTTGAAGTCGCTTGAAACTCAGAATGAAACGGGGTTTTAAGTGTTGGTTTCATCAGTAAAAGTGAGAGTTCACAGAAGATAAATTTGGTTGCCCATTTTTGTCCAGGGACTACTACGATGTGCTATGGCGTCCGCGGGTCAACGACCTATTGGGGATGTCCCTGACTCATGTGCGTTGATTGGCAGGTTCGAGTTTGTATATGTCACCTGTCAATTGGTTTCATGTGTCGTTTGCTGTTGGTGATTTAGAATATTGAGGAGCGGATTGATTTACGCAGTCCGTCAGACTCTCCGATTGGTTCCTTCAGGCTTGGTTTTTCTTGGTGTTCCATGCAGCATGCTGGTGTGGATTTCGAGTGGTACACATGGCAGAGCAGCTCCCAATTTCATGGGAGATTCAAGTATCCCTGGTGTTGTTGCTTCCAACACTCTTCTTGCAAGAGCATCGTTGCTATGTTGCTTGGCAATGGCCCGCTCAGTGTTCTGGGCTGTAGAACAGCCGGGCAGTTCCTGTTTACCCAAGACTCCTTACTGGCGCCGCTTGTTGGGCCTCAAGATCAAACGGATGCATTTCATCCGATTGCCAGAGACTCAGGTTCCATGATTTCCCGAACGCTTTCAATTTTTTGCAAGCACTAGCTTGTTCACTGACTGAGTTATATGGGAGCCTACAAGCACATGTCCTGGAAACTCACCATGGTGTTTGGGTCTTGGTGCACTGCTCAGACCCTAAGCCCACTTTGAAATGATTGTCGTTGTCATTGACAGTTCCCTGAGGCCTCGAATTCCTATGCTCTACCGCAAGTTCACCAGGCAGAGGAAGGCCGCCATAAAGAAGCACCAGATGAAACACAAGGTTGTCATTGCCAAGAAGACAGGCAAGTCTGTGCACTCTAGCTGTATTGGGGCCTTTTGCATATATATATATATAGACCATGAGACTCCAGTGAACACCATCCGCCTGACTTCAACCTTGCCGTGGCCTGAGGTGCGGTGGCAAAGACTTGAAGCGAACTGGAGAATATACCAAGCCTTTTGCCAGAAAGGTCGTCAAAGAGTTTTGCAACTTGACGGCCGAAGCCTTGGATGCCGGCTTCACCTTTATTGTATAGGAAAACACACGCGTACAATTCTTACACACTATTGACAAATACATAGACTACCTAGGCTGGAGAAAAGGAAGAGGCTTCGAATGTTGACTTTGAGAGGATGAGCCCATTAAATGCTCCAGTACAGTGGAAACATTTAGACCTCAAGCAAATTGAGGAGTTTCTGCAACAGCGGATTGATGATGGGAGTTTCCATCCTCAGTTTGCTTGGAAGCCCGAGCATCTTGCATAGTGTGCTTTGGAAACCCGAGCTTCTTGCGTAGTTGATGTCACCAACCCGCCAGCTTCACCTAGTTTTACTTGAACTATCTTGAACTTGTTTGTTGTAGTGTTGACCTACTTACTATATATATGTATATACTCCGGATCCTATTCTACAAGTGATACATGTGCTTTGGAAGCACTGAGACTGGTGGAAGGGGCACTTGCAATGCAAGATCTTCAATTTAGCTAATTTGTTGGAAATTTGTTGCCATTTG